TGGTGGTTAATTGGAGATAAGAGTTTCATGGACTTTCCTGCCCAGGCTGGCTTTGAACCTCAATCCTCAGATCTCAGCCTCCTGAGCAGCTAGGATTACAGGCGTGAGCCATTGGTGCCTGGCATGAACTAACTTCTTTCCAAACACATGGGATTTCATCCTCTCTCTTGTTGCTCTTGAATATTCATATGCTACCTTCCCATAGATGTCCTTGGTTATATCATGAAGAATATCACGGCCAAACGTTCACGGGCCCGAATAGTGGATAAACTGCTAGCACTGGGGTTGGTGACTAAGCGGCAGGAGCTATACAAGAAACGGAGGAAGAAGCTGGCACCCTCAAGCCTGGTAACCACCTTGCCCTGGCCTGGTCAGCCGGGGCCCACCCCCTGTGAAATGCTCCGTAGGAGGAGCCCGCCCACCCAAATTCTTCTTGTCCCAGGCTGTTTTGACTAAGTCTCTCCAGGGGGGTGATCAATAACTAGAAGTCTCCACTAAGTATCCCTTGTGGCCTCTCTTCTCATCCTCTTGTCCCCCAATGAATTTTAGCCTAATGGGGAACAGTCCGTGAAAGATTTTTGGCAGGAAGATCTGGAGGAAGAAGAAGAAGAAGAAAACTTGCCAGAAGAAGAGAACGAAGAAGATGGAGAGAAAGAGGAGGGTTTGGAAGTAGAACATGCCCAGGGTAGCTTGTTTCTTTCAACTGAAAACCTTGGCCAAGGCCTACATGAGGAAGGTGAGGACTGAAGTCGAGAGATGGTTCTTAGGTAGAAGGTTGAAATGGGAGTAAGGACCAACTCTGTTTGCATTTTCCCTTTAGGCTTTTCTGCTCCACTCTTGTGGCTCCAGAACTGCCTGCTGCGAGCGGCAGATGATCGGGAAGAGGACGGTAGGTTAACAGAGGACGGTTTTAGGAGCACTGGAGGCCACTAGACCTGGTTGTGGGATTGAGGAGCAGTTCTTTCTTTTCCTCTTTCCACATGACTCTTGATTTTGTACCAGGCTGCTCCCAGGCTATTCCATTGGTGCCACTGACGGAAGAAAATGAGGAAGCAATGGAAAATGAACAGTTTCAGCAGCTGCTGCGCAAACTAAAGATTCGGCCCCCCACCTCCGTACAGGCAAGTACAGCCATCACCATGTCGACCAGTGCATGTTGGTCCAGTCAAATACCTCTTCATGACCATTGTCCTCTGTCCATCCTGTTGCCTTGTCATGTCTGGCCAAAATGCATCCACAAACAATCTTGCCAGTCTTCCTCTCTAATCTCCCCTTCCCTGAATCCATGTTCCACACTGCCCCCAAATTTACCCTTCTGAAATAGTTTCAGTGATACCACTCCCCTGTGCAGAGCACTTGCTGGTTTCTCACTAGTTGCAGGACACAGTCCACAATCTCCAAATGGAAGTTCCACGACCATTCCACTCACACTCCTGCTTTCCACCTGTCATCTGCGACTACTTTCAACCCTCCAGTGCTAGGCCTTTCCATGCCTTTTCCTCTATTGGAATGCACACAGACCTGCATGCACGCATGCACACCCTCCCTGCACCCATCTTCCTGTTGAATTTCAAGCCTGCCCTTGAGAATCAGATCTATTGTCACTTCCTCAAAGAAGTTGTCCCTATTAACCTTTCAACTTCTGAAGCAAAAGTGGCCACTGTGATAGCTGAAATTTGTTCATTCACTTCATTCAGCCCAATTCTATGGTATGACTGAACATTCAATCTTTCTACTATTGGTTGTGAGTTCCTTGAGAGTAAGGATCATAACTGGTTCACCCTGAGGTCCCCAGGATCTATTCATTTATTTAGTTAGTTAACAAGTCTATTTACTAGGAATCTCATAATAGTAGGCATGGTGATAAACACTGGTCATATTTTATTTTATTTCTTTTTTTTTTTTGCCAATCCTTGGGCATGAACTCAGAGTCTGGGCACTGTCCCTGAGCTTCTTTTGCTCAGTGCTAGCACTCTACCATTTGAACCACAGCACCATTTCCAGCTTTTTCTGTTTATATGGTACTGAGGAATTGAACCCAGGGCTTCATGCATGCTAGGCAAGCACTCTACTACTAAGCCACATTCCCAGCCCATTGGTCATATTTTATAAACAATAAGTAGAGTTCACAACTCTTGAGGATCTTCACCACTGTAAGGTGATCTTTATCCAATAAAAATATATAAATGTTGGAGATTTAACTCAGTAGAAGAGCACTTGTGGCAAGTTTGGTCCTCTGCTCTGGAAAAAATATATAGGATATGTTTATATCCTACATTTATATAGAACAGTGTAAAAAGCTGATGAACAATGAACATTCATTGTCATTTTTCTCTGCTGTGTTCTTCTAGGAAACCTTCTGGCGAATTCCAGCCAAGCTTAGCCCCACCCAGCTCCGGAGACTGGCAGCTTCTTTGAGTCAACCAAAGGAGGCAGAAGAGAAGCTACCATCAGAGCTAGAGCCAAGAGTCCCTGGAGAGCAGGGTCCCAGGGAGGAGCACCAAGCAGAAACCTCGAGAGCACTCTCATTAGCCCATAAAAACAGAGCAGGCCTTGTGTCCTCAGACGGTAAAGAGCAAATGCTCATCTAAGCATATTCCCTGAATTCTACTTACTTTGTGCTGTCTAGGTTGGGCCAGAGGGTATTTTGAGACTATGCAGACCCAGTTTCCTAATTTTGACCCAGTGATTTTGTGGTCACTTCAGAGGAGGAGACTGCTGATGATAAAGAGCAAGGGACGGTGGCGCCCAAGAAGCGGCAACTGCTGGACAGCGATGAGGAGGACGAGGGCAGCAGCAAAAGTAGGGAGTCTTAATGGGACCTACTTTTTCTTTTACTCTCTCTTTAATTTGGAGACAGACTCTACCACCTGCCTTTAACCTACTTAGATTTCATTCTCTCTCTCTCTGTCTCTTTCTTTTTCTGCCTTACTCTTGTTCCTGTAGAGCCCAAGCTGGGATCTCCAGTAATCTACAGGAAGAAACGGTTTCAGATTGAGGATGAAGATGAAGACGAGTGATAAGCCCGAAGCCTAGGGGTGGAGATAGATTTGTTTTAGGTTGGTGAATTTAAATCAGTTGGGAAAGTCAGAGAACCTTCTCTGATTGAATTGGAAGCAATAGAGTCCTGGGCTCTTCCCTAGATCTAGGACCCAGAAACTGCAGACAACAGTGCTGATGGACTTGTCTATAGTCAGTCTTGCTTTTCCCAGTCTTAAGCAGTATGCCCCAGATGCAATCTGTGAGTGACCCATAGGCCCCTTGTTGGTCTGCTCCTTGGGCTTTCTGCTGGAGGTGGGTCACACTTCCGGAGAGTATTGTAACATAATATATGGGGATTCCTCATCACTTTCAGAAAGCACTACATTCCCTTATCCTCCTTTTCTTTCCAGTGATCATCCCCAGGACAGAAGATTGAGCTGAGCATGCATGAAGCCCTGGGTTCAGTTCCTCAGTACCACATCAACAGAAAAAGCCAGAAGTGGTGCTGTGGCTCAGGTAGTAGAATGCTAGCCTTGAGCAAAAGAAACTCAGGGACAGTGCCCAGACCCTGAGTTCAAACACTAGGACTAGCAAAAATAAATAAAATAAAATGTTAAAGAGACAGTCAGATGTTCTTTTTTCTGTTTCCCCTCTTTCCTAGAAATATAAATAGAATCACCATATAGGCTGGCCCAGGCAAAACGTGAGACCCTTTCTAAAAAGTAACCATACCAAAAAGAGCTGGAGGCATGCATGGCTCAAGTGGTAGAGAGCCTGCCTGTCAGGTAAAGGGCCTGGCATTCAGACCCCAGAATCTCAAAAAATAAAATAAAAAATCCCAGCTACTTGAACGTAGAGGAAGGAGGATCACAAGTTGAAAAAAAAATATATAAGAGTAATACCTGCATATCTATATATATTGTAACTCTGCTCAAAATTGCCAGCTGGTAGAATCATGCTGAACAACTGGTGAGTAGATAAAGTATATTCTCTCTCTCTCTCTCTCTCTCTCTCTCTTTCTATCTCTCCCCATACACACACACACACACATACCATAAAAAAATAAAACCTAGGGGGCTGGGAAGGTGGCTCAGTGGTAGAGCGCTTGCCTTGCATGCATGAAGTCCTGGGTGCAATTCCTCAGCACCACATAAGCAAAAAGAAAAAAGCCAGAAGTGGCGTTGTGGCCCAAGTGATAGAGCACTAGCCATGAGCTGAAGAACTGAGGGACAGCACCCAGGCCCAGAGTTCAGGCCCCACAACTGGACCCAAAAAATAAAAAAATAAATAAAAATAAATAAAAACTAGGGTATGGGAAGGTGGCTCAGTGGTAGAGCCCTTGCCTTGCATGCATGAGGCCCTGGGTTCGATTCCTCAGCACCACATAAGCAAAAAGAAAAAAAGCCGGAAGTGGCACTGTGGCTCAAGTGGTAG